GTGGGCCGCGCTTGGCCCGTTAAGGGTTGTGCCAGTGTCGGCCCATGGACCTCGAACCCCCGACCCAACACGACAGGGACCTTCGTGCCGAGCCTGGCATGGCCTATGGGCCTTTGTGCCGTGTTGGGCTGGTTCAAAATCGTGCCGGGCCATGGACGGCCCAGCCCGATTTACGCCTCTAGGTTGAGGTCAACCTAATGAGGTCAACCTAATGAACCCGATTTATGCCTCTAGGTTGAGGTCAACCTAATGAGGCCTGATTTACGCCTCTAGGTTAGGGGTTGGTATGACTACTTCACTTTTGTTAAAACCTTCCTATTTCTTAAACTAATAGCAACTCACTTTAGCATAATTATATGTATGAGGACATAATGATGGTAATTTAGTTAAGGGAAAATTCTGGATTAATACCTTGTATTTTGGGCCTAGTGCCACTTTGGTCCCCAAACATCAAAACATGACAATTTAGTACTTGAACTTTCAAAATGTGTCAATCTAGTACCTACCATTAACTAGCCGTTAAGTGGCATTTGAAAAAACACAAATGTCCTTTGAGTGTCATCTATTTCTCTTTATCAACCATCCAAAAGTTGACAATAAATGAATAGTCCTAAATCCTTGCCTCTTCTATTCAAGAAAGTTAGGATTATTTTGAATAGAAGAGGCAAGGATTTGGGACTATTAATTTTTTTGTCAACTTTTAGATGGTTGATAAAGAGAATTATATGACACTTGAAGGGCATTTATGTCTTTTCAAAAGCCAATTAATGGCTTGCTAACAGACTAGTTAATGGCAGGTACTGAATTGGCACATTTTGAAAGTTTAGGTATTAAAGTGGCACTAGGCCCAAAGTACAAGGTACTAATATGGAATTTTCCCTTTAATTAAAGAATATTAGATTTTTATTCTAAACTTAAGATGTTGGTATACATAAATCCACTTGATGTGGTAGAGGCAAAGGATCCGCTTAATGCTCTTTGTTTGCTTTCTTTTGTATAGTTGTTTATAAGGGTGTTATGTTGGGGCTGGATCTGTTTTTCTGTTGGCCCTGCCCGTTTAGGTTGGTTTGGTCTCGGTGTAGGCCAGTTTTTGTTGTTGGTCCCTTTTTTTAGTTTTTTTAGTGCGCTTTG